TACCAAAAATGGGTTTTCAAGAGAAGAAGAGAGTTAGAATAGAGAGTTTTACCTCTTCTCAAGCTCTTGAACAAGAATCAAAGCTCCTAGACCTTGGGAATGCTCTCTTCTCTCACCTATCTTCAATTCTTAACCTAAAAATGTATTTGGGGTTTCTCTCATTTAATGCTCTCGTCGGGTTCTCGCTTAAGCGAGCTTATTCTCGCTCAAGCGAGAAAATCCCGCCCATTTTAAAAACTCAGATCTGACCCTCTCGCTCAAGCGAGAATCTCACAGTCTCAACAGCCCCAAAATGCCATTTCTCGCCCAGGCGAGACAATTCTCGCTCAGCCGAGAATCCTCCAGTATAGCCAGGATTTCACCCTCCCACGTGAGTCTTTCTCCCCCAGGCGAGAATCTCTCGCTCAAGCGAGGATCCCAGGACTGATACTATAATTTTAAGGACTCAAATTTAGGGTGTTACATACTAGCCTGGAGCACCAAGCTTGGCGTTGGGCGATGGCCTGACCGAGTAAGAGCTAGTCATTAGTTAGTGTATATCATTTTTTATTTCTATAATAAATGCTTGGGTCAACCTTTGACCTACAATTGACATATTTTATTTTAGGCTTTATTTCTAATTTGTTCTCATAAGTAATGTCTGAAAGTTAATTTGCCTCGTGACCACTTAATTTTAGCATCAAAGTGTAACCAACACTTCAATGTTTGAGCCAACTCTCGTTTAAGTGTGCCCAACAAAATTATGACAGTTGGTTACTTAAATGACCATTAAAATGGTGGAATTACACCTTGTTCTAGCCGCTGGAGTATTGACAAGCTGAACTTAAAAAGGAGCAAACAACATCATATGCTATTTGGCTCGCAAGAAGCACAAGTTAGCCGAAGGAAAGTCCACTCTTGAAGAAGTCATCCAATGCCCATCAATTCTTGGCCGGTGACATCATCACTATTTCCTCCATGTGCTCAATTGAAGTCATCACTCCAGCTTTAAACATCCATTGGAGAGGAATCATAAGTCAATCTTTCAATGCCAACTGTGAAGCCATGAAAGAACAAGTTAACGCATGGTTTCACCATGCATTCAAATCCTAGTCGTGGCATCAAGGAGGAAAGGAATCCTAGGAAAACTACTCATGTAAGTCGTGTCATTTCAAGCTACAATAGGAATCATAAGTTTGTGTCTTTACTTCTTTCATCAATTGTAATAAAGTAGCAAATAAACACATGTCTTAAGCCTTTAGCCGAATTTAGACATGTTTAGTAATAGATTCACGAGTCAAAGGTATCCAATGTTGGATTACCTCTTTAATGCTTTGTTTTTCTTTGTTTCACGTGGAGGCCATGTTTGGCTAGCTAACCGCTATATGTACCCGAACTTTGCAATATGATAAACAAGTTGAATTTGAGTAAATTAAGTGGATTGTTAGCCCTTGTGAGAGTATATTCTCCAAAACTTATTGGTTGAACCAAGATTACAAGTTCTTATCAAGAAACCAAGTTTCTTGTGGCGAACCGCACCTTTGGCTTATCAACACCTCAAGTGTTGTGGCGCCCATATCACTTTATGTCTTAAACCATTTTCTTTTATCCCTAATTATCTTGTTTTCATACTATATTGTCGTGAGTCAACTGTGCACCAACGAATAACGATCACCAACCTAGAGCCTTCAAAAGAGGTTAACATCAAATGCCCATGATACACCTTTACATCCAGGCCAATGTCCATATCACACTCTGCATTTCTACTAATGTTTGTGTTACAACTTCCATCCAAGCCAATGCTCATGTTACACACTGCATCAAAGTTTGTCAGTGCCTCTATGCTTTTATGGATTCGTTAGCAATTAATATATTTCACTATGACATCATAGGCAGGCTAAAAGGATATTCCACTATTTCATCTCATATGAGATCATCATCTCTAACATCTAGAGAGATATTTCCAGCACCTATCTTAGAGTTTGACTCAACGCATGAGTTCCTATCTTCTCCTTGGTCTCACTCCAATGCATGAACTTCAGTGGTTTTGGATCTAACACAATTATAGTTCCCTTTACAGTCCCACCATGTTTCATTCTCCTTCAACTCATCTTGTTTATTCTCGTATAGTGCATTTGGCAGACATTGTCCATTCATCATGTTCTTCACCCTCTTGTGCCATAAACTGGTCTATGGGATAAGATGGGAGGAATAGATGGCCAACTAAGAGGGGGGGTGAATTAGTTGTTTTAAAAAAAATCATTAGGAACTTTTCAGCTTTTTCTACTTAAGAACAAATTAACAGAGTTGTAGCGGAAGAAAGTTTAGTAGAAGAAGAAGAAGTGCATAAAACAAAAAGTGTAAGGATGAGAAAAATCACACCAAAAAATTATACTGGTTCACCTTCTACCACCGAAGGCTACGTCCACTCCTCTTGAAAACCACAATAGATTTCCACTATTGAATGAGTTTAACTTACAAGCAAAGTCACACCTAGACTCCCCCTAAGTTGTATCACTCACTCACTTCAACAAGATAGTACACCACTATCCTTGTTTTACAATGCCTCACCAAACCCTATGGTGATTACTTGAGTACAAGTATGAAGATAATAAATGGCTTAATGACAAACTCACAATGTATCTTAATGCCTTATGAAGTTTTCAGAATTCCAAAGAATATGAAAGTTTTTCTGAAAAACTTCAAAGTGTTCTTGAATAAAAACTCAGAAATTTGTTTCAAGAACTTGGATTTTTTAGTATAAAAGTTATTTTTTATAATTCTGAGATCCTACAAGGTTTATATAGAGTTCCAAAAGGTGTTTAGAATCACTTTCAAAATGTATAAGTCGTTTGGGAAAAGTTGAACCAAGTTGGAACACAATGGTTCAATTTAAAAATCAGATTTTCGCAGTAACAGTACGTGGTAATCGATTACTTATCCGTGGTAATCGATTACCAGTTGAAAAACAACCGATACTGACGATTTTTTGCTTGTGGTAATCGATTACCAATATGAGGTAATCGATTACCTCAGTTGAAATTTCAAATCCAAAGTTGCTTAACGGCTAGTGGTAATCGATTACTTCCATAGGGTAATCGATTACCCTAGTTGAAATTTCATTTCCCAAAAATGCCGAGAGTTATGGTAATCGATTACTTACCCTGGTAATCGATTACTGCAATTAAATTTTGGATTTTAACTTTCAAAAGTAAGTGGTAATCGATTACTACTATAGGGTAAACGATTACCCTAGTTATTTTTGCTTTTTCCCAACTTTTCAAAAATAACTTGGTTTTTCTTAGGAACTCTTATATTAACCTAGATTAAGATCTTTATTCTTAAGGCATTGTGATTTCTTATGAGTTTGAAATATATACTACTAAAAGACTAAGACTCTTATAAAAATAAAATATACTTCAAGTTCTTTAAGTCTTTGATCTTCAATAGCTTTTCTTCTTTCTTTTGGTTTTATTTTGGTGATGAGCATTTGTCTTCATCAAAACCCAGCCTCGGTCAAGGAGTCAGATCATCTTCCCATAAGAGTCATATACCAATTGGCTCTAATACCAATTGTTGGAAACAAATGAACAATCAAATAGTAAAAGAAAATAGGGCTAAGAGATAATAACACAAGGAATTTGATAATGAGGTTCGGCCAATTGTGCATATGTCCTCGGGAGCACTAAGTGTCTATCAATATATTATTAGAGAATAAAGATTACAAGTTTTATCACACCCATGAGTCCAAATGTCCATGTAATATTTCTATTTAGTGTACATTATAATATAATAGTTGATTTCAATATATAATACTAGACAATGTGAAACCAATACAATGACAAATTTCAAGAATTCCCAATATTTTTTAATGAACAGAGAAGGTGACCATAGAAAAGAAAATAACATGAAAGCATATAATCAAGGACAGTACCCTTCATGTCCTATGGGGTGCACATGCACACCCTCAAATTTATTTTCTACCCAATAATATTTTTTTAGGTAATATTTCTTGCACCTTTTAGTTATATAAAATTGTATCAATAACATTTATATTATTGTGAACACTCAATTTTGTCCGGCCCAAAGTACATTAAAAAAAACTAATAATAGATAGTAAGAAAATTCAAAATTGTAATTTATAATGTGTGAAAAAATGTTTTAAATAGACAATATTTGATACTAAAAAAGAGTATGATACATTCACTTAAAAGAAAACCAAATCCCCATTCCCCTTTAACTTCTTCAGGTGGCTTAATGGGAAGATCCTCCCAAATTATACATCCCCACACTCAATCCCTGAAAAGGAGAAGAAATCAAATGAAGAAAATAAACCAAATCAGCAACAAGGATTCCAAAAAAATAGCACTAAATAAATACATTTAATACAAGGAATCAACACTCATCAATCAACATATTTCCAAAAAAATATGACACCAAAGATATGCAGATTAAGGATCTTGATAAGTTAAGCATAATCGGACAACAATAATAATTAGCATTATGGTGATAATCACCAATTATAAATAGAGCATCAAATAGTGGTATCAATAAGACAATTAGAGATTCATAGTGAAAACTAAGGCAATAAAGAGCATTAAAACCATGATTTGAAATATGAATATATAAATATAAAAAAGGAATAATCAAAGAAGCAATGAATTAGGGGATACAAATCAGAAATACAGGAGGTTATCATGAACCTCAAACATTATAAAAGGCAATAAGCTTGTTCAAAGAGAGAACGGAGACAGAATACCTAGATATCTAGAAACACATCACACTTCGAATACAAAAGTACATAGAAACCAACCAAAGAGAACATAGAAAACATAATAGGGAGAACACTGCAGAAAAGGACAAGGTGCAATTTCCAAAAGAGGACACAAAGACACACTTGCTTATACGTTCATCATCCAGGTAAGTTTTAATGGCACATTCATGTTGTTTACATCATAGAAAAAAACTCATGTAATTGCCATACCTACAACTAATTACATTGTGTGTGCATCATAACCTATGCTATTTCCTATCGGGTAATCCAAATAACATATTGATATAAGCAGCAACATAATCACTTCCTAACATGAAATCTCATGACATGTTTTCATCATAAGCTTCGAATTCATTGCTTTCTTCACACTCACTGCATAAACAATAGCAAAATATTTGATGGTTAGACAACAAAAATAAGGAGCAATAGCAAAACACATGATGTTTAGTCACTGCATATTATAACAAAATCATGTACGTGATATTCATTTGTTCAAAGCATAAACAACAAAACAAAAAATAATGGACATGACATTCATTTTATTCAATGCTGCAACAAAAAGCCAATATTCATGACATTCATCTTCATTGTTGAGTTTTCTTTTTTAACACATTACTAAAAACAACGTTAACATCATTTCAAGCCAAATATATATAATAAGCATATCAAATTTGTTGGTTTAATCACCATCATGTAAATAACTACAAACAAATCAAATGCTGAAACCTAAAAATGAAACCCCAAAATTCTAACCTCTTTTCTATTCTGTTCTTATTTTTGTTTGGGCCAAAGCCCAATTTTTTTAGTTGCTCGTTATTTTTCTGATTTACCCTTAATACTATAATAATATAGTTAAGACGAATATTCATTTGTTTATAATATAAATTTCATAGTTGCATTTTTATTTAAAATTTGATATTTGAAATGTATGTTGAATTAATAAGATGTTGTTCTCTCTATATAAAAGTAAATAATTTTTCTCACCATAATATGATAAAGTTAACAATTAATTGTTGGTTCAAAGAGTTTAATAATTGGAATAATCAAATATTGTAATGTCAAACTTCCTAATTCGAGCCGAGAACCGGTCGCGGTCACTTGTACTGCTTCTGTTATTTATCGAATTAAGAAATTAATAACTAACGTCAACTTTTATTCACAAAAATTCTCTTTAAAAAATGTTTATGTTATTCTAAAAAATAAAAATGATTTTGGGATTCAATAGCGATGTTACAACTCGTATTCCACTTCAATTAAACTCAAACCAATTTTTAATAACTTCCGATCAAACCATTTTTAATCAAACCAAACCAACAAACGATTTTATTAAAGAACTACGTAGTCTTGATTTTCCTATTGCATTCAGGGATATGTAGGAGCAAGATAAACTCTTGTAAGACACAAAAATAAAAAATAAATATTTTGTTTTAATCCATTTAATTCTAATAAAGTAAGGGTAAATTAAAAACATGCAATTAGCTAGGGTACCGTTTAATAACGGGCAGATGGGGTGCTAATACATTCCTCGATTCGTAATCGACTCCCGAACCCACAACTCTAGTTTAAAAGACCAATTTTATCCAAACCGGGCACAATTCGAGTTTTTCACGTTTTAACCGCAAAAGACGTAGTGACGACTCCTTAAGAGGTCGCATGGCCAAAATCCAGGACGCGACAATTATATAAAATTTTATATCACTTAACTATTATTATTATTATACTTAAATCAATCATCAATTTAGTCAATTATTGGATGAATAATGAGATTAGTAAGTCACAAGTTAGACAAGTTAAATCGACATACTTTGAAAATTATTAAAGTTTTATAACACTACCTAACATTGTTTAAGAATTGTGTACTTTAAATTTTATTGTGAACACTCGATTTTGTCCGGCCTATCTTTATAAAAACACAAAATTCAAAATAGCATTTCATGATTTGTATCATTCCAAGTTAATTATATTAGTTGTGATAAATCAAATACATTTGTCAATGAAATTGTTTTCCTTAAGCTCTCTACCCAGGTTCCATTGAAGTATGGTATTGACGAGGTTACCAATATGTGATTAATTCATCCAGCCATTAATCACTTTACAGTAACTGGTTAGAGTATGTGCAAATCATTAACTATTATTTATTATTTGCCAGATAATCATAACATATTTAAGTATTTGAAAACAACCATGGCCTAAAAAAAGCAGGGGTCTGAAAACAAATGGCCATCCTAAAAAATATATATATATATATATATAAATAAAAAATTTCAATTCATATTGGATAGTATTTATCCTCATGCTAAAAGGAAGGGTTTGATTTAAGGTTGAATGCGTGTTGGATTGTTACAAGTCCTGAGGATGTGCGATATTTCAGAATGTGTCCCCGTTGAAGAACATTATCCCTGCTATGTAAGGTTCTGTTGAAAAGAGTTGGTTTCAAGATGCATTCAAGCACATTAAAGTGGCCATTAAAGAGGGAGCTTGGAGTGTGAATTTCAAAAAACTCTCCAAGTCCCACATTGGTTGGAGAAGGGAAGGTGGAAGGCCTTATAAGGCTCAAGTCCCACCATTGGGGTGTGCCCCAAGGGGTACAATGGGTTTTGTGAGTGGGTGAGGACTCACACAAACAAAACCCCCACACACACACGCGCGCGCGCGCGCACCACCACCACCACCTCCTCCTCCGCCGCCGTCCGGCTCAGCTCAGCTCGGTTCGTGTTCGGGTCGGGCTTGGGCTTGGGCCCAACATTCTTTTTGTACAAAAATAAATCTTTATTTTATCTATTTATTTTATTTTTTAGGCCATTGGGCCTTTGCCATGCATTTGGGCCGTGTGGATGACCAGATCATGATTGACCAAGTCACCACACGTGAGGACGAAGGAAGGATCGAGAACATGCTCGAGTCGCCGCATGACTCGCACGACCCGGTATTTGAGGAGGTGGATCCGCGCCCCAGCTTCCTCCACGCCGTAGATGCAATTTTTCTGGGCCGTTGGATGGAGGGTCGGTTGGAGGCCTCACGCTATAAATAGAGGCCTCCCCTCCTCATTAATATTCGCACCAAGAGCAAGTACGAATTTACTTGCTCTTTTCTTTCTCCCTCAATATTTTCTGCCGACGCATTTCCGGCCTCCTTCTCTCCCTTTCTTTCCGTGGCACTAGAGTTGGAATAAGATATTCCAATATTGTGGGTATTTCTGAATTGGCACTGGTAGCCATATTTTGGGTGTATTCGAGAGCGATTCTTACAGTGCAGTAAGATATCGTATAACAGAGATCTGGGCTGTTTTATCCTGGGGACGGCGTGGTTGATAGTCTGCTTGCACCTTGAGGCAGTACCACGAAACGTCTTAAAGAGAGCGACCTGGTCGTGACTCAGCCAGTAAAGATTATCTCGTGTCATTGTTGCAGGCTACTGATACAACAATTTTAAGACGTTTCGTCTGCAATGGCACTCGTAGATAATATTACTGGTCCGAACAGCTTCGACCTAAGCAGACCATTCAGGTTTGACGGGACTAACTTCAAACGCTGGCAAACCAAGATGGAATTTTTCCTAACGGTTAAAAAAGTTGCCCACGTTTTGAAGGAAGATATTCCAGTAGTCCCTGAAGAAGCTGAGAAAGAGGAAAGGGAAAAACTAGCTATGGATATTGCTCTGTGGAATGATAATGACTACTTATGTAAGCATTTCATTCTTGGTGGGTTGTCTGATGATCTATATGATTATTACATCCCATATAAATCTGCCAAATTAGTTTGGCAGGCACTCAAAAAGAAATATGATACTGAGGAAGCTGGGACTAAGAAATATGCTGTTAGCCGCTACCTCAAGTATCAGATGACTGATGATAAATCAGTAGAATCTCAGTCCCACGAGATTCAGAAAATTGCTCATGAGATCATCACTGAGGGTATGCCCTTAGATGAGCAATTTCAGGTAGCTGTCATTATTGACAAACTGCCACCTAGCTGGAAGGACTTTAAAAACGTCCTAAGACATAAGACCAAAGAATTTTCTTTGGAATCTCTGATCACTCGTCTTCGCATTGAGGAAGAGGCTCGTAAGCAAGATCAGAATGAAGAAGTGTTGGCTTTATCAAGCCATAGCACTAGAAAGAAATTCTCAGGTGCAGTTCTGAAGCCTTCGGGCAGCAACTTTAAGAATCAGAACCGCAATGGGAATAAGGCTAAGATCACCGGCCGCAACAAGAATTGGAACTCTAAAAAGGTCCAATATGCTAAACCACCCGCTAAGAATGACTCTGGCAACCTATTTATCTGCTTCAAGTGTGGGAAGCCAGGTCATATGGCACGAAAGTGCAGGAACCAACCAGTGGATCATACTCCACAAGCTAACATGGTTGAGGATCCACTTGTGGCAGTGTTAACTGAAGTCACAATGATTGGAGGAAGTGATGGGTGGTGGGTAGATACTGGTGCATCCCGCCATGTCTGCTATGATCGTGCTATGTTCAAAACATACACGAATGCTGATAACAAGAAAGTGCTGCTGGGAGACTCTCACACCACTACTGTTGCTGGAACTGGTGATGTGGAGCTGAGGTTTACATCTGGGAGAACTCTGATACTCAAAGATGTGATGCATACTCCAGAGATGAGGAAGAATCTAGTATCAGGTTTTCTTCTTAATAAGGCTGGTTTTACCCAGACAATAGGAGCAGACTTGTACACTCTTACTAAGAATGGGGTATTTGTAGGGAAGGGGTACGCCACTGATGGCATGTTTAAGTTAAATGTTGAAGTTTCAATTAATAAAATTTCTGATTCTATTTACATGCTGTGTGATTTTTCTATTTGGCATTCTAGACTTTGTCATATCAATAAACGTGCTATTACAAATTTGAGTAATTTAGGATTAATTCCCAAGTTATCTAAAAATGATTTTGAAAATTGTGAATCATGCAGTCAAGCTAAAATAACAAAAAAATCACATAAATCAGTAGTGCGAGAATCTGAACCCTTAGATTTGATACACTCTGATATATGTGAATTAGATGGAACGTTAACCAGAAATGGTAAACGATATTTTATAACTTTTATAGATGACTGCTCTGATTTCACTTATATTTATCTTATGAAAAATAAAAGTGATGCACTTGATATGTTTAAAGTCTATGTAACTGAAATTGAAAATCAATTCAATAAGAAAATAAAGAAACTCAGGAGCGATAGAGGCACTGAGTATGATTCTAGCATGTTTAATGATTTTTATAAATTAAAAGGCATTATTCATGAAACAACTGCACCATATTCACCTGAAATGAATGGTAAAGCTGAAAGAAAAAATAGAACATTAACTGAATTAGTAGTAGCTATCATGTTAAGTTCTGGTGCAGCACCCTCTTGGTGGGGTGAAATTTTATTAACTGTGTGTTATGTGCTAAATAGAGTCCCCAAGACTAAGAGCAAAGTATCCCCATATGAGCTCTTTAAGAATAGACAACCTAATTTGTCTTATTTCAGAACTTGGGGTTGTCTGGCTTATGTCCGGATACCAGACCCCAAGAGAGTTAAACTCGCTAGTAGAGCCTATGAATGTGTATTCATTGGGTATGCTATAAACAGCAAAGCGTACAGGTTTTATGACCTTAACGCTAAAGTAATCATTGAGTCTAATGATGCTGACTTTGATGAAAAGAAATTCCCTTTTAAATTGAGGAATAGTGGGGGCACATCATCTAGTCACACACCTGTGATTAGAGATAGTGATGATGGGTTAGAAGTAGAACCTAGAAGAAGTAAGAGAACAAGAACTGCTAGGGAGTATGGACCTGATTATATGGTCTATACATTGGAAGATGATCCATCAACTATCCAAGAAGCTTTGACTTCCTTGGATGCTGATTTATGGCAAGAAGCCATAAATGATGAGATGGATTCTCTAGAGTCTAACAAGACTTGGCATTTGACTGACTTGCCACCTGGTTGCAAACCGATTGGTTGTAAGTGGGTTTTGAAAAAGAAACTGAAACCTGATGGCACAGTGGATAAATACAAGGCCCGCCTTGTAGCCAAAGGTTTCAGACAAAGAGAGAATGTAGATTTCTTCGATACATTTTCACCCGTTACTAGAACAACATCCATTAGAGTACTAATATCGCTCGCTGCGATACATGATTTAGTAGTACATCAAATGGATGTTAAAACCGCTTTTTTAAACGGTGATTTGGAAGAAGAAATCTACATGGAACAACCTGAAGGTTTTGTAATCCATGGGCAAGAAAATAAAGTCTGCAAGTTAGACAAGTCATTGTATGGTCTTAAGCAAGCACCTAAACAGTGGCATGAAAAGTTTGATAACTTAATCATATCGAATGGGTTTAAGGTGAATGAAAGTGATAAATGCATTTATTACAAATCAGAAAATGACATTTACACTATCATATGTCTCTATGTAGACGACCTACTCATATTTGGTTCCAACATTCATGTTGTGAATAATGTGAAATCAATGTTGTGTAACAACTTTGATATGAAAGACCTTGGAGAGGCAAATGTAATCCTTGGTATAAAGATTACTAGGTCAAAGGAAGGAATTTCTCTGGATCAATCACATTATGTAGAAAAGATCCTAAAGAAATATAAATACTTTGACTGTAAACCTGCTAGCACACCATATGACCCAAGTGTAAAACTTTTTAAGAACACTGGTGAAGGTGTAAGACAAACAGAATATGCTAGCATCATTGGCAGCCTTAGGTATGCCACTGATTGCACTAGACCCGACATTGCCTATGTTGTTGGACTATTGTGCAGGTTTACCAGTAGACCTAGTATGGAGCATTGGCATGCTATTGAAAGGGTAATGAGATACCTTAAGAAAACTATAAACCTTGGTTTACATTACAAAAGGTTTCCAGCTGTCCTAGAAGGATACAGCGATGCTGATTGGAACACTCTTTCAGATGATTCCAAAGCAACCAGTGGCTATATATTTAGCATAGCTGGTGGAGCTGTTTCTTGGAAATCAAAGAAACAGACTATTTTGGCTCAATCCACTATGGAAGCTGAGATGATAGCACTAGCAACAGCTAGTGAAGAAGCAAGCTGGCTTAGAAGCTTGCTAGCTGAGATTCCCCTATGGGAAAGACCGATACCAGCTGTGTTGATCCATTGTGATAGTACCGCGGCTATTGCAAAGATTGAGAACCGTTTTTATAACGGTAAGAAACGACAAATACGTCGTAAACACAACACCATTAGAGAGTTTCTCTCTACAGGAGCTGTGAGAGTGGATCACGTACGCACTGAGAATAACTTAGCAGATCCTTTGACGAAAGGACTAGCTAGAGAGAAAGTCCATAATACCTCTAAGCTTATGGGACTATTGCCTTTAGAACGAAGATCACTCACGATGGTAACCCGACCTAACTGACTGGAGACCCCAAGAAATAGGTTCAATGGGTAATAACAAGTTGTGAAGTGATATGAGAATGGACATGCTATGAAATTTTGAGAAGCATGAATCCTGCAGTATATGTAAGGATGAGTTAAACTCTTAATGAGATCTATACTCCAATTGGAGTGGAGTACCTAGACTACAGGAGTACTCTTGATAGACTCACCTATGTGAATGTGAAAGTGGGGGCCGCTTTCTATGAAATTTAAGAGGCATAAATTTCTAGAGCGTTCACTAAACTGGGATAGACGTGCATGGCCTTTAACGCACGGGCTTTATTGAATACACCTGTGAAAAGGTTGTGTGTGGTTTGATGCCGGAGATAGAGTTCAAGACTACGAGTCACTCTAGTAAAATCTGGATCTTACTCACTATGCAAAGGTTCAAGTCGTATGACACCTTTGTTTATGCACAATCTTATTGAGACCACAGAAATTCCCGAAAATCGTTTTTTAAAATATCAAGTGGGGGATTGTTGAAAAGAGTTGGTTTCAAGATGCATTCAAGCACATTAAAGTGGCCATTAAAGAGGGAGCTTGGAGTGTGAATTTCAAAAAACTCTCCAAGTCCCACATTGGTTGGAGAAGGGAAGGTGGAAGGCCTTATAAGGCTCAAGTCCCACCATTGGGGTGTGCCCCAAGGGGTACAATGGGTTTTGTGAGTGGGTGAGGACTCACACAAACAAAACCCCCACACACACACGCGCGCGCGCGCGCACCACCACCACCACCTCCTCCTCCGCCGCCGTCCGGCCGGCTCAGCTCGGTTCGTGTTCGGGTCGGGCTTGGGCTTGGGCTTGGGCCCAACATTCTTTTTGTACAAAAATAAATCTTTATTTTATCTATTTATTTTATTTTTTAGGCCATTGGGCCTTTGCCATGCATTTGGGCCGTGTGGATGACCAGATCATGATTGACCAAGTCACCACACGTGAGGACGTGAGGAAGGAAGGATCGAGAACATGCTCGAGTCGCCGCATGACTCGCACGACCCGGTATTTGAGGAGGTGGATCCGCGCCCCAGCTTCCTCCACGCCGTAGATGCAATTTTTCTGGGCCGTTGGATGGAGGGTCGGTTGGAGGCCTCACGCTATAAATAGAGGCCTCCCCTCCTCATTAATATTCGCACCAAGAGCAAGTACGAATTTACTTGCTCTTTTCTTTCTCCCTCAATATTTTCTGCCGACGCATTTCCGGCCTCCTTCTCTCCCTTTCTTTCCGTGGCACTAGAGTTGGAATAAGATATTCCAATATTGTGGGTATTTCTGAATTGGCACTGGTAGCCATATTTTGGGTGTATTCGAGAGCGATTCTTACAGTGCAGTAAGATATCGTATAACAGAGATCTGGGCTGTTTTATCCTGGGGACGGCGTGGTTGATAGTCTGCTTGCACCTTGAGGCAGTACCACGAAACGTCTTAAAGAGAGCGACCTGGTCGTGACTCAGCCAGTAAAGATTATCTCGTGTCATTGTTGCAGGCTACTGATACAACAGGTTCATAACCTTTCTGATGGGTTTGCTTGGTGATCTCACAGAGGATTTCATAGATAAAAGATGAATGCTTGTGAATCATTTCACCAGCCATAAAATCATGAACAACTCCATTAATCTACCAACTATGACCTGAAGGAGCACACGATACCCATCAACTTGATCCATGTTGAGCTCGACTATTAACTTGTTTGCCACTCATGATGCTACCTCCGAATTCTTGTGTAGTCAACAACCACCGAGAAAGGATCACCATAGCTGTGTTCTGCATCCCTGATCTAGAAAAAGAGATTAAACCAAATGACAAGTTAGTGAATGAGTCAGAGGACCATAAAGAGAAAAATTCAGCAAGTAATCACAGTTAAACCAAAGGGTAGCCGTGAACACAATTCCAAAAGATGGCAGCTAGCAGGTACCAATCAGAGTCAATGGCTTTCAGTTATAATCAGAATCATTAAGCAGCATTGATGGATACTCTTGAATGTAAAAAATTGGAAATAGCAAGCATTAAGAAAGAAGAATATATAGGCAGTCACAAAAAAGAATAACCAGTGACACTTCAGCTACACATCTTTGCAATAATAAGTAAGCAGCAAATGAGCAATCAAGAGGGGAAAATCAGAATGGCAAACAGCATGCACGTTACACTCAAGACAATAATAGAGATAAATATCAAGAAGTGCAAGTCAGAAGTTTTCACCATTTCAGTAACAATCAGCATAAATGGCATTCATAATCATCATAAAGGAAACAACAAAAGGAATATAAAAGGGTCATCTCTCACATACAAGAGGGGGGGTCGTTCATACAGAATAGGGAGAGAATTTTCAGACTTTTCATTTTTCATCATATATTTGTTCATGACCCTCAAATCGGCAACCAATAGACGCAATACATCCACTTTCTCATACATATCACATAACAAGTCAGAGAAAACACATCACACTGAAGCAGGCAAAAATCACATAACACACTAAAGCAGGCAGCTCCTACAATACACTCACATAGAACATTAAGAGTGGAGAATACACGTTCCTGACTCTAAAAATAGGCAGCCAAAGAACACACACAACACAAACAGATACACATCACCGAAAAGAAAGAAACATACTCTCTTTATAGCAACACCATTGACAGAGACAAGAAGATTATCCCAAAACACAAAATCAAAGTAAATAGCCACACAAATACTCATCTTCACTCATTCATTCCATCATCTACCCCAATCAATACATAAAATACCAATTTCCTAAACTTTCATTCCTCACTTTGTTCCTATCAAACCCATTACCATTTTCTTCTTCTTCCTCCAATAGAAATCCTTATTAACGCATCTCCTCCAACAATCACGGTTGCCGCCGCGTGAAGATTAGGGATTTCACCAAATCCCTTTTGGTTCATTTCATGCCTCTGTAAGAAGGAAGAAAAGATGATTACCTGTTCCACGAGCCTACGCATTTGAATCGCCGTCTATGCTGCCGCCGCTACCACCGGAGATGGAGAAGAAGAGAGGAGAGGGAATTTAGGATGCCTTTGGTTGGAAAGAGTAAGGAAAGAAAGAGAAAGAGAAAAGAGACTTGAGGAGAGTTAAACCTTTTCTCTGATTTGGTAGGCTAAATATTTATTATTATTTATAAGGGTAAAATTGTATTTTTAATACATATATATTTTCTCCTTCTTCCAATTCTTTTATATCTCTTTTCTACTAAATAACTCTTATAATTAACTTATTTTCATTTCTTTCTTTTCTACTAAATAATTCTTCTGCTCATTGCCTAATTCATTTCTTTCTTTTTAAAAAAATATTATTTATTTCCTTCATCATATATATTTATTTGTTTTATGGTTTTTATATTAGCAATTGCATCAAAATTAATTAGTAGAGTTTATTTTGTATTAGCAATTGTTTTAATTTAACATGATCCTCGACAATTCTCATCACTTAAATGAATTTAAATTTTTTTAAATGAATATTAATGGAATTTTTTTAGTAAGTTACAGTTCGAGTTGATTCTGACTTCTCTGAAAATGTGAAGAATGTGAGCGACCAATACCGACTTTAAACTATTAATTTCATGCTAAAATGTTTCAAATAAAAATTACTTTATTACTTCAACGAATTTTAATGGAATGTTTTAGTAAGGTTACAGTTCGAGTTGACTTTGAATTCTCTGAAAATGGGAAGAAAGTGAGCGACCAATACCGACTCTAAACTATTAATTCCATGCTAAAATGTTTTACATAAAATTTACATTATTACTTAAACGAATTTTAATAGAATTATAGTAAGGTTACGGTTCGAGTTGACTCTGACTTCTCTGAAAATGGGAAGAAGGTGAGCGACCAATACCGACTCTAAACTATTAATTCCATGCTAAAATGTTTTAAATAAAAATTACCTTATTACTTAAACAAATTTTAATAGAATTTTTATAGTAAGGTTACGGTTCGAGTTGACTCTGACTTCTCTAAAAATGGGAATAAGGTGAGCGACCAATACCGACTCTAAACTATTAATTCCTTATCAAAAGTATTTTGAAAAAATCATATTGTATGACTTAACTACTTCAACATATTTTTAAATTACCCAAACCAATTTAATTGATTTTCGAACCAGAACTACGTAGGCTTGATTTCCCTATTGCACCTAGGGATACGCAGGAGCAAGATGAACTCTTGTCAGGCACAACAATATAAAATAAAACATTTTGATTTTTATTACTGAATTTCAATAAATAATTTTAAGGGTATAAAAGTCCATGTTATTAGCGAGAGTATCGTCTTAATACGGGCGGACGGGGTGTTAATATCTTCCCCCATGCGTAATCGACTCCCGAGCTCAGAATCTCTTATTAAAGACCAAATTATAATAATTGGGCATATTTGGAGTTTTCTATGTTTTAACCGCAAAAAACATAGTGGCGACTCCAAAACAATTGGAAGATATAGAAATCAAGTTTGTCTCTCCCTAAGTCGCAAGGCCGATCTTCCAACTGAAAATCGGGTCACGACAGTTATTACACAAATACTAATTAAACAACCAACAATTTTTTTTAAGATAATAAAATGTCACAAATAAGTTGAAAACATCACCAATTTTTTTTTACAATTTGATTGCAATAAAAGCAGACAAATAAGTTTAAATCTTAATTAAACAAATTGGATTTTGTGACAATATAAGCTTAAAAATGACAAAAGAAATTTCAATAATGACAAACATAAACACAAATAAGTTGAAAACACCATATTCTTTTTCCTCACAAGAAGTCATTCTGATGTTATTTTCTGAAGAAAAAAAATGATTGATTCAGGAGATGTGTTTGGTTAGATAGATCGATTTACTAGTTTTATCTGTAAAATAGCCAAGTCGAACTGATCCATATCGGTTTTGGTTCATAGTCAATAAAATGAGCAACTCGAACAAGTTGGATGTCCATTTTAAGTTAGAGTAGTTAGTCCAATCAAATTTAATAACATTGCACTTATTGCAACTTTCACCTACTTCGGGTCCTAAATTTGTCATTGCCTATAGTCATGCAAAGGAAGTCTAATTTTGGATAAGTGATAGCATTTTCCTTTATGCTTTGTTTGGTCGAGGGAAGAAAGTGAGAAGAGAGATTATAAAGAGAAAGAAATAGGTGATAAATAGAGTATATTTTTATATTGTTTGGTATGAGTGAAATGAAAAAGAAAGAAATATTTTCTTCTATATCTCTCTTGTTTGGTTGAATATAAAGTAAGAAGAAAGAAAAATGATATGTTTGAAAAGGACAAAAATACCCTTAAAGCAAAAAGAATGGAAAAATAATAATAAATGAGTTTGAAGGTTATATTTATCATTTCAAATTATTTAACTCTCATACTACTTTCTCTCCATGTTGGGTGACAAGAATTTTGTGTGAGTCATACATGTTTTTATTCTCTCAACCCTTTCTCTCTTCTCAACCAAATGAGAGAAAAATTTATTTTCTCCCTAACTTCTCTTCCCTCAACTTCTTTCTTCTCTTTCTCTACCCAACCAAATGAAGGCTAAGTACTGGAAAAACACTCGAGTGTAGAGCATATCATAAATGAAGCACACAAGCTTCGTCCATGCCTCTCGCATAGTTTTGCGTATATATCATGAAAATGAGCTACAAGATATCGACCAATCTATAAAAAACACAATAGAATTAATGTAAACTAATCCAATTATTACATTGTTTAATGAATATTTTTTATAATGAGGCATAAATAAGAAAGAAGTAGTAATTGATTAATAGATTCATGTGTATCAATAATTGTTTCCCAATCAATTTTCAATGCAAACTATACCTTTTGGATAACTTAAATTGTGTTAAAGAGCACCCATGAGATAAAAGGTGTGTTTGATATATTGTCTAATCATTTGAAAAAACATGGAAGAACTTTTAATTGAGAGATATAATAATCACTTTAAAAAGGTAACCAAATCAAATTAATAATGTTGGGTTTTTTTGGTGAAAATCTCTTACCAAATAAGGGTATAGATTTTTTTTGGGAAAATTTTACTAAACACCCTTCAACTTTTGGTGAGTTGCAAATTAGCACTATGAAATTTAAGTTATCCAATTAACCCTTAACCTACTATAATTATTGTTGGAAATCTTGTTGGGGATAATGTTGCACCACTTGGACAAAGAAATAGTTGATGAATTTACACGTAAAACCTCTAAAGCGTGTGTTACCACACTAACATTTAGGTTCGATTCACCCCACCAATTTAAGTATATTGGATGCAAATGGGATGAACAGCGAATCCCCTTCAGGATACTTTGGAAAACCTTGATGTGATTTGCACACGCACAACAAGTGTATCTTTCGATAATATTTTACAAGTTTATGGTTCCTACACTTCTTTCATGCATTAGAGAAATGAAGGATGATTTCTATACTTTGACTTTTCGTTTTCGTCATATTTCATTCAGCCTACAAATGTCTATATTTATAGAGACATTCATGCCGCTCGGTGAAATGGAATACCTTTGGGTTTTTGCATCAGTTTAGCCGAAAGGTTATGTATAATAACCATTTCAGTCACAATTTGACTGAAGTAGCACGATGGCCCAGTGGTAATAACTTTTGGGACAAACTGCAGTGCACACGGTTCGATTCCCACGAGATGCAACTAATGAACTGATATTATATGACATATATCATTCATAAAACGTATATATTCATTATTGCAATTCAGATATTTTGGAAATATCCACAATTATATCAATATATTATTTCATTTCTCATTAAGTTTCTAACATGGAAAGATGGAAGTAAATTTAGATTCATCCTTCACCAATATACCATAATAATGTTTTTATATTAGTTTGTTTATCTCTCTTCACATTACTTATTTTATAAAATTTAAAATCATTTACCCTTTTTACAAAATCACATTTTAGAAAGAAAAAAAACAAGAGTTTAAGATTGAAACCTTAACATTTGTGCTTAAATTCAAGAAAAGGATAATAACAAACATACTAGCGTATGAAGAAGAGTCTTTTCTTAACATTGACTAGATTTTAAGGAACACAACAACATTAATAAATAATAAAAATATTAAAGGCCTTGTAGATCGGAAAACACAAGTTAATAGATAAAATTTTAAAGCGACAAAAACATGAACAAAGTTTCCAAAAAAGATTTTTTAGAAAACCAAGCAAGAAGTTACATGAAGCCGAGTAACACATTACTTGAAAGCGAGTAACATGTTACTTGAAGCAAAATAAAACATTACTTGAAAGAGAGTAACATGTTACTTGAAAAAGAGTAACAGCTTACCTGAACGGACAAAATGATGCAACCACTAATTAGTGAGTGGACAGTAAGGTCCAATAACTGATTACCATGAACCAGTAACTGATTACCCTGTGTTGGTAGTGTGTTTTCGAAATTGAAACTCAACCACTATATACCTAAACAAACCAATACGATTCCAAACATTCCATACCTCCTAAAATGGACTATAAAATCCCTCTAAACTTTATATACATCCTAAGTTTCTGAAAGCAACACAATACTTTTTCAAAACTTTCACTTGCAAATCTACAACAAGTTTTTTTAACTTAAGAGAAATTCCACATTTTCATACTTTGTGAAAAACAAGAGCTAAGCATGATATTATCTTTAAAGTGTTCTTGAAAATGTTTCAAACATCATTAGATTTGGTTCAGAGAGTCATCTTCTACTTTATCAAATTAAAGAATCACCATAGATTGTGGTGAATGATTCTGTAAAAAGAAAATGATGTGTTTTCTTGTGGGATCGTCTATTGTAGAAGAGAGTATTGTATGAGACTTATAAAGGAACTCAATTACATAATGAAAAATCACTTGAATCAGAAAAGATAACTTTACATAGCCTTCAGTTGAAAAATGTGAATCAATATACATCTTGATACAAACCTCTATATCTTTATCTCTTTTAAATTTCTGCAACTAATAATACTCCAAAAGTTTTTATCTCTAGTAGAAAATTTTGAATTGTAGTTTAAAAAATACAATATTGATCCAAACTTAATTCATCCTCGTTCTTAGGTTCCTAGTGTTTATACAATCTACT